TTATATCTTCAGATTGTTAACAGATGTTTATTCCTGTGTCTTGAATCAAGGATTTATTCTGTCTTAAGCATTTATTGTCCCTCTTGCAAGAGCAGAAAATAATGGCTGGCTGTTGAGATAAGCATTTGTTACAATTATGAAGATGCCAGGCAGAGTATATTTATACATTTATATGCATTAATATATAGTTATTTCTATTTATTTGTATTTTGGAAGCTTGTGCAGTAGATCGGTTTAGAGGGCCAAACACTTCAGATTACCAAAATGGCCATTCATGGAATTGATGGCATTTCCCTCTCATTCTGTCTCCCTCTACCCTTCACTGTTTTCATCTGTTTCTTAGTGTTTCGTTTGTCTCCAGCACAAAATGTCTGTTTCCTATTTGCTTATTTTTATAGCCAGATGTAGGCTGCCCTTTCATGATTCAAGAAGTAAAGTTTGCCAAGTGCTTTCTCCCCAACCACTGTCTAGGAAAGAGCCAACCATGGACTCTTCTGAGCATAGCGGCTTCCTTGGATTGTGCTCCTATGTGTGTTTTGCAGGGGGTTAAATTTCTCTAGCATACATCCTTCTTAACTACCTGCCAAAGGTAATTGGCCACCAAGAGAGAAGCAAATCCAGATTTTTCTCAGTGGTACAATGACTGTTGCTCTGTTAGATCTACCAAGCCTCTGCTAATCTAGAGGTCTCCTTCAATTTCATACTGTTCCCGTTTAGATGTTCAGGTTAAGGCATACATATATTGAGTGTTTGGCTGCACTGAGACTGGATTTCTTCATCCTTAGTCATGTTGTGGTGATTTTCTATTTTAATAATGATCAGATTTTTAGTTCTAGAATCAGATTTACAAACCATGTTGGCCTTTTTGTGGATATGTCTACACTTCAACTGGAGTGCCTTTCCTGCTTGGGTTGACAGACATGAGTTAGCGCCACTTGAGCCTGTGTGCTAGAGACAGCAGGAGAAACAAGAGTAGCATGGGAGGCAGCTTGATGTAACACATGAGTACTAACCGAGCAGACACTCTGGGCATGTACTCATTTGGATAGCCGAAGCTCAGGCCCACTGAGTGGCAGGAGAGGCAAAGGTGGCAATTGCCCTGAGGCCCAGTGATTCAAAAAGGCCTGGGACTCCTGGCTGGCAGTGATGCTGCCTGGAGCCCCAGGCCCTTTAAATCACTGCTGAAGTGGTGGTCTCCAGGCAGCACTGAGAGCTACCTGGGGGAAGTACAGCGTGCTGACTGCGGCTGGGGGGAAGGGGAAGGCAAGCCCAGTGCAGTGTGCTCTGGGCAACACTGATGGCTGGCTTGCCCCACACTCGCCCCTTCCACATGAGGCCCTACCCCTTCCACACAAGATTCCACCCCTTCCAGGAGGGCAGAGCCATCCCCCCAGCTCTTTGTGCCCAGGAGCCTGGGAAGTCTGTCAGCCTCCCTGCCCAGGCCACTGCCTGTGCTGCCTCCAGCTATACTGATATATTTTTCCATGGAGCTCAATCACAGCTGATATGTGTCTAATTGAGCTGGGAAGCTTGCTTTTAAAGTCAGTGAAGACATATCCCAAGCTACATGCTAGCCAGTCCTTTCTATACTAAAAGAATGGACTACTTACTCCTGGAGTACACTATTGCTCATTTTAAAGGAGATTGTACCTGTATTAAAGGAGGATTATTTGCTACTTAAGAATGTGACTGTAAAGGTAATTGTAATTGAATATAAAAATATAGATAATTACAAATAATAAGTGTCTAAAATAGAATACGGATAATGAAAACAAGCAGATCAGATTGAGAAAATTCAAACTCGTTAGAAACACATGAAACTTGAGCAGTTGCAAAGTTACAAGGAGTAAAATGTTAAGTACTTAAATCCCACTGATCTTCAATTGGTGCTCTCTAAAATTTACTTGTGGATTCTGCCATATTAGTTAAGTGAGTCAGTTGGGTCAAATCAGAGGATAAAATAACTTTTTAGGATTATAAAACTTGAATTTAAAATAACTTTGAAATAATTTGATTTTAATATGTTTCTAATAGAACTCTACCTGTATTTTACAGTTCTAATGTGTTTTAGAAGACCTAGCTTTATGCTGGGATGTACAATGCTGTATTAATGACAATCTCACTGAAGGGATAATTGTTTGTCACTGAGTGAAACTATCAAAAAAATGGTGGAGATTTCTAAACATTTGAAAACTCTTTTATACATAATCAGTGATACTAGTAAAGCTAAATCACTGCTGTTATCTTTTAAGACTATCAGGTATTGATAGGATGTATAGAAAAGGGCATTCATACTGAAGAAAATGTAGCAAAGAAATTAACTGTCAGTATTTGTATGTGATCTTTTCTGTTATGTCCATCATAACTTTAATTTGCAGTATTTACTATGGTTTGAATGGTCTTTTTCCTTTGGCACACTTTCTGAGTTGTACGATTGAGACTTCACTTGTGCTGATGCAAGATATTTCTTGTTTCTGTAGAGGTATGAGTAAAAATAATATTTTTTTACTCTTTTTATGGTAAAATCTTGGAAAAGTAACACCATAAGTATGGTGGTTTACTTGTTAGATGAGACCTGAATATGCAATTGTTCTGCATTCAAAATTCCAACTACCATATTGGGTCTGTTGCATTTAATGCTATTATTGAAGGTTGAAATACTCTTTACTAAGAATTGTTTGAAACTAGAGCAATCTTTCTGGCATCTTTTAGCTGACAAACTATTCATTTTTCATTATAAAGAGTGAATCTCAATGCTGTAATTCTGGCTAGCATCAAATTGTCCAATTTGTTGTTGTTGTACACGGTATGTATTTGCAAAGAACTGTAGGTGCTTGGATGAAAAGTGTGAACCTGTTCGGTAAATATATATGTAAACAGGTGTTACCAGGAAAAGCGCACTAGTAAGCTAAATTTAATGGGCCTGATCTTAAACGATGTTAAATGCCTTTGTCCCAGAAGATGGTCCGACCTGGAAACCACCGTGTCTGTTACTGGCGGATTTCTAGGTTCAAGTCCAAGTAAACACAGACACGAATGTCAAATTTAAGAATATATTGTGAATGCAACAGATAACACAGCACAGAACAACAAAACATAGGATAACACTGTGTAAACCACCCCCACACCCCAGATGTAAAAGGAGATAGAACAGCAAAGTAAAACGGGAGTATAATACTCTGTCTGTCAGATGGTTGCCTGAGGCTCAGGACTTTCAACCCGTTGGCTTAGGTAGCCTCAGGGGAGGAGCACTGAGGAGTCCAAATATAGATGTTGGTCTGTCAATGATGTGACAGCGTGTAAGTTGCGCGCACACCCGGTGGAAATGGTTCTTGGCTCCGGGAAAAGGGCCTTCGCCACAATGATCGAAGTAGAAGTACGTGGTGGACTTGGTTTGGTGATGCAGGTAGCTAGAGCCCACAACACTGGGTAATTGCCACAGTAGTGAACTGGAGCACCCTGTAAACAGCAGTGGATGGTCTGTCCCAAAGTAGGTCCTGGCCTTCGCCACAGTCTTCAAGCACAGTAAGCTGCTGATGAACAGGAACCAACCGAATGAACCCAATCCCTTCAGGGGTCTGTGCTTATAAAAGTCCCAAAGCGGGGAAAACATCAGGAGTGTCTCTAGTGCAGAGGCGTAGTGCTGGGTGCAAAACTAGAGTCTCTGGTGCAGACTTAGTGCCACGTGCATTGCCATGGTGCTGTGTGCACAGCCATGTGCGGTGTACAAAGGTGGTGTTTTGGCAGCAACTATCTCTTGGGTTCCATTTTAGAAATCCCATCATGCACCACAACTCCATTTTGAATTGTCTCAGTCCACAGCCTCCATTTTGATTTTACACTGTCCATCTGGTTTTAATGTCCCTGACTTTAGTGTAACACAGGCCTATGAGCAACGGGAACTGCATGAGGGTCTCTGGCAACAGCACTGCATTCTCCTGCAAATGCAGTTAGTAACTACTTGATTTGAAAGTTTATATTCGCATAATCACATTGATGCTTTCTTTCTCTGGTTCATGTAAGCCTTGAAATGGGAGTTGACGTTTTACCTGCATATTAACCAATTACTTATTTTTCATTTTGTACTTTGGAGTGTATCATGCTGAATTTACTGATCTTTATGGGGATCTTCTTTGAAAGGATTATAGTACAGGCAGTCCCCGGGTTACGTACAAGATAGGGACTGGAGGTTTGTTCTTAAGTTGAATCTGTATGTAAGCCGGACCGGGCGTCCAGATCCAGCCGCTGCTGAAACTGACCAGCAGTGGCTGAATCAGGATGCCTGGAGCAGAGCAGCTGGGGTGTTGCCGGGTTGGTCCAGTAGCGCCCAGAGCGGCGCTACGGGACCAACCGGCAGCGCCCCAGCTGCTGTACCACAGGCGTCCGGAGCAAAGCCGCGGAGCACGGGGGCAGCGGGACAGCCCAGACGCACCGTGGCTGTCCTGCTGCCCTCGGGCTCCGTGGCTTTGCTCTGCTTTGCTCCCCGTCCCCCTGGTCTGCTGGAGACCAGGGAGAGGGAGGGCCCTGTTCATAACTGTGGGTCCGATGTAAGTCAGATCCGCGTAACTCGGGGACTGCCTGTATTTCAAAACTTTTAATGGGCTACATTAATGCTTCTGATATAAAACTTAAGGGAGTGAAGTGCAATTATAGAATTTAGAATAAATATCATGACTAGGACTCTATCAAATTCATGGTCCATTCTCTTCAATTTTACTGGCATAGGATTTGAAAATTAGTCCTCAGTTTTCAGATGTTTACATCTGAAATTACATGGTGTTGTAACTGTGGGGGTCCGAACCCAAATGGAGTAGTGGGAGGGCTTACAAAGCTGTTGTACTGGGATTGTGGGATTGTCACCTTCACTTTTGAGCTACCCTTGGAACTGAGCTCTGAAGCCCCCAGAGCTTCCTACAGCTGCAGGACATTCATGGAGGTGGGTCTGATCTTCCACCGTGCTTCAGGGGGCCCTCATCAT